CGTAAGGAAGAGGCTCAGTCGTGTTTTTCCTTCTTAAGAGAGAAGTGCTCAGAAAATATCAAGTTACATTTGGAATTATCGCTCTAGTTCTCGTTCCTAAGGAGGTAGACCGCGACACAATGAGCAAGGTGTTCCTATTCACACGTCAGTGTGCGGTACGTGCATCTGATGAAGGGCATGTGAGCCTGTGTATAAAATGACACCGCCGAGACGGAAGACGTGTACATGGATAACGTCGGCCGTGAGGCCAGTGCGAAGGAGATGAACTAGCGTGGTTAGTACAGTGGCGAGATGTCATCGGTTGGCAGAACCGGTTGAAGCGCGGACAGCCGTTAAGCGACCCTACTGGAGGGTCGCTACAGCTGCACTATCTCAAGTGGGGGAGACGACGGACTAGTAAAAAAAGCGTTCAGTGCGAGGTTTGCGCCGACGAGAAAACTGTCGAAAGCGTGAGCGAGGGTGGTGAGACGCGAAGCAATCGGTCAGAAGAAGAGCGGGATTGCCGTCTGGCGATAGTGTAGAAGATAGAAAGCCTAACACAAAGTCAATACACCGGAGTGTTTATTCTAGTGCCTTAGTGTCAATCAGGAAAAAGACTGTGACGCCATTGCTAATGTTCGATCGGAAGAGGAAGAGAGTGTCGTTCTTGGCCAACAAGGGCACTGCTTATTAGGACTTGACTTCGGAAAATATAAGTACCTGATGTTTACGTTTCAATAGTCTACTCGTGTTGCCTAAACTAACTATGATAGCGAATCACGTCATTCCACCCCTGCTCAGCAGAAGCAGACTCCAAGAGCGTTGCACACTCGTGCTTCGTCGTGAGCGGCACATATACTGACAGTACAAGACAGTGTTGTCCGCCACATCAACTATGCTAGGATGCTGTATGCACAGAGGCAGAATACTCACCAGGAGAATGATGACCAGCATCATCCTAGAAGTTGTGAGCATCAAATTCGAGTATCACATGGTAGATCAATATAATCTTCAGACATAATTTTCACTCCGTCCGACTTCTAGTATGCGTACTGGTCAGTGCTTGAATTAGCTCTGTGTGTCCTTGTGTGTTTGCCTATACAGCGGACTGATATAGAATGCTTTATCGACTAGATGCTATAGGCTTTTCGAAGATTTGCTCAGGTTAGAGGTGAGAGCTGGGGACGTTGTGGCTTGGACGGAGAGGCCAGGCGCGACATCGGGCCAGGGACACGGCATCCGGGAAGATCAATAGACCGACTCGGTGGTTTAAATGACACACCTACACATAAATTGTCCCATTGGCTAAATAAACAATATTATTAGCTTTGGATGGCTAAAACATAAAACTGGTAGTTAATTACCACATTTTCACCATACAAAGCTCAAGTATGGTCTGATAATCTACCCTTAACTTCCAGGAAGTTGAAGGTTCGTTGTGGAACAGTAACACTACTTTTCACCAAGAGAAAATGACGAGCATGATTGTCGACATCATATTTTTTTGATCTATGATTCTAAATTTACTTTTATCATGGTAAGAAAAAAACGAATAGAATAGTTAGATATTTGGATAAAGAAAGGCGCGATTCGGATACCCGTTTCCCCAATTCGCAGCCGTTCTGGAGCTACAAGCGCTCAAAACGAGGGTTAGTTAGACTAATCGTCAAATTAAGGGTTATAATTGGTCACTAGACCCAGCCCAGATGGATTACAGGATAGAACTGAGGGTTGTTGCCCACTCGGCCTGACATTCACATGATAATCTAACAAATATTTCAAAACAATAGGTTTCGAGGTCTAGAGGTTTCATAAAAAGAGTTTGCATTGCACATTTCTCATGCCTTTACGCACTAGATATGATATTAGAGGTATTTGATATATATCGATAAGTTGTCAACACTTGCGGTACCTGCTAAAAAATAATTTTTGTTCTAAACTACTGGCAAGAGTATAACCGTTTACAACTTAAGAGCTTAAGCACTTGACTGCAGGCTTGCGTTGTCTGTCAGTTCCACCGCTGGTAGACTGTTTCACGAAGTGGACATTTTTGTCGGTACTCACAATCCTGACCTGCTCTTCCTCTTACAGATTTCACCCTCAAGTTATTCTATTGTGCCTTTCCAAAGTTTTGGCCGATCTGACCTTTTACGGCTGGTGATAAGCAACGGTGGGTAGGGCTAAAGGTGGGCTTTGAGGACGAACTGGAGTTGAATTGCTAAGCCAGGCCACTAAATAAAATAATACTTGACCAATAACACTGTTTGATTTTGCCGACTATGATCCAATAATACTTGATTGTGGAGGTCCTACCTAAGGGCTCCGATTTGGTCTAAAGGGTACCATTTAACAAATTAAGGGCCAGTATTTGCCGGCCATTTACACTTACGTAAGGTATCCACAACATATTGATTTTAAATCAAATATGGGCTACTTATCAGACATACACTGGCGAGGCATTGTCTTGCAGTATGTCTAGAAAATTGAGATCATCGTAGTTGCCGGTGTACTGGGCGTCTCAACCAGAAGCCTTCGGAGATGCCTGTATGATTGATATGGAAAATCTCTATAGCGCTGTAGCATCCGCCCCGAGTGACAGGCTCTTTTTGGACTCTTTACAAACCGAAACCTTTCTTGAAATTGAATGTGGTAGAACAATGACCTGGTCGCGATTGAGGCCACAAGTCTTCCGGTGGGCTATTATTTGGCCCATTTGATTAACATTAGTTATGTAAAGCATAAGAAAAATTATCTTTTGATCAACCAAAAGATGTAGAGGACCACACAGTCTGGACTGCAGGGAAGTTGCTGTTGCACTTCAAGGAAACCGCAGAGGAATTTGTCGAGGCGGAACCAGTAGCTTGAGTAGTTGAAAGTTCATCTGAAAGTGAATTGAAAGACGTTAGCTTCTTCCTAGCCCTGCTGCTTCTCGCAGTCTACTCCAAAAGCCTAGCGATTATGCAGATCATACAAATACATTTGTTCTCGATGCTGGCACGATCTCGAGCCCAGCCACCGGAGAACGTCGAGTTGGTTGGCTCATTTGTCCCCAGCCACACCGAAGTTGCCGCTTACCGTCGTAGCTTGTTGACGCTTAATTCCGACGTCCAGCGCTAGAAGTCACACGATCACCACCTCCAGCTCGTGGAGAGTGGCTAGCTTTTGCCATATCCAACAGTTGCAAGCTCGGATTTTGCATCTGCAACTTCACGTCTAGCTTTTGGGAGTTTCCAGCATCAGATGGATTGCCTCCTGTACGACTGGGTTTCGCGGCAGCGTTGGATGTTCAACCAGTACGTCTACCTACCTCTCCGACCAAGCGCAGAAATACCAGCTACGGTGTGTACAGAATTCAGCAAGCACAAGATTTCAGCCGCCAATCTCCTAGCCATCTAGCTAGTTCACGGAGGTTGGAAATTGAGCAAGCCCAACTCTTCTAGCAATCAGTTGATGAATTAGAATATGTTCCGTTCACAAAATACGCATTGTACTACAGTAATACTATTGTTTACCAATAATTGCAATTAGACATGTATTAGAACATTCTCGGGTTTAACTTACTTTTTGGAACTACTTAAATAACGGATTTTCCCGAATAGAATCCGGTCTTGTAATCCCCATAAGCCCCTAAAAATTAATCAATTTTGACGAGGGGACTTGTAATCGGGTAAGGGCTTGTATTTAATGAAAGAAAAGTTTTCATCAATGGTTGTTCAGTGCTAAAACGATATCTAAGCGTCTCCTAACTACGCATTACTCATCAACCAGCTCGACGCCATCCAATGCGTAAGCAAGCTCATCATCCACATCTGAATCCGTGTTCTCCTCTTTCTTCTCTTCTTCATTCTCCCATTCGCGATGAAATCCTCTTCCGTAGACATCGTGACCCCAAATAAACCATTCCGATTCAATCGGAGAAAATCCGGCCGCAGCTACAGAGTTGTCAATAGTTTCTTGATCAGTGTCCTTCCAGGCCTTTCGCACCCACTGGCACGCGACTTCAGCGCTCGGTGGCCTCGGGTTTCCGGCGCGAGTGTATTCTACAGCGTCAGAGTTCTTCCACTCGTCGAT